CTTCTTCAGTACAGTACTTGAGGCTGATTTATACACGATGTCACAGTAATCAAGTAGAGGCAGTATGGTAGCTTTTATCAATTCCAAACGGAACATAGGGGGGAAGCAGTGCTTGTGTCGATACAGGAAACCAATTTGTAGTTTTGTCTTTTTACCAATATAATCAATGTGATCTTCAAAATTCAGTTTTGATTCTAGGATGACCCCAAGATACTTTTTGATTTTGACTTGCTCTATTTGATAATTATTTAAGGAATGTAATTGGGGAAAAATAACTTCCTGCTTTGGTCCTGGTGAGAAGCATAGCACCTTGGTTTTGGAGGTATTCAGGACTAGTTTAAGAGCAACTAGCTGATGTTGTAGTTTGTTGAAATCACCCTGGAGCTTAGCAATCACGTCATCCGGAGAGCAGCCAGCAGTAATCAGTATCGTGTTATCTGCAAAAAAGATTTACCCTGGAATGATCGAGGTCAGTGCCCAAGTGATTGACATAAAGAGAGAACAAGAGGGGGCCGGGGATGGAACCCTGTGGAACCAGTTGTGTTATCTTAACACTGTTGGACCTCCAACCATCTGTGAATACAGTTTGGGTGTGAGATAAGAGGTAATTATTTTTACCATTTTACTGCTTTTTCGGAAAAAACGAGGCAACTTAGTTTACTAAGCAGGGTGTTGTAGTCTACTGTATCAAAAGCTTTGGACAAGTCAAGAAAAAGTCAGGCGCAGTACTGCTTATTATCAAGGCTACTGTAAATGTGATTCAGAGAGTCTAATGCAGCAGATGTGGTGCTGTATATTTTTCAGAACCCAGATTGTTTAAGATGTAATAGATTGCTGGCAGACAGGAAACTGCTAATTTGGTAGTTCAATAATTTTTCAAAAATTTTCATATCAACGGGGACAAAATTTAGATAGGTCGGTAGTTATTTGGATCATCTTTAGGGCCCCTTTGTGAAGTGGACGAACATAGGAATGTTTCCATTCTAGAGGAACTGATGCTTCTTTGATGGACAGGTTTAAAATATCGGCTCTATGTTTGTATATTAGGTGACCAACAGTTAGTAGAGCAAAGACGGGAATACTATCTGCTCCGGTAGAGGAGGACCCTTTGAGGTAGTCAGTTGTTTCAGAACATTACTTTCATGGATTAGCTGGAAACTAAATTCGATTAATTTTTGGATAGGGCTGTAGGAATTTGCATGAGCAGGGGTGACTCCCAATACATTATCAAAAAGGTTACCAGCTTCATAAAAATGAAGGTTAAAATTGTCAACTATTTTTTGGGATCTGAAAAATATTCCCCATTTCGGTTAAGGTCAACGGGCAGATTATCTGTTTTGGATGCCTTTTCGATACATTTGATTGTTTTCCAGAAAATCCTGGCATTTCCATGTGATTCCAGGAGAGTGGAGGAAAAGTAGGCATTTTTTGCATGCCGTATTTTTTTTACGCATCTATTCCTTAAAATCCTGTATTCTAGCCAGTCATTGACCAAATGACTTTTCTGAGCACATGCCCAAGCCTTGTCCCTAGTTTTCATGAGCTTTGTAATCAAAGGATCAAACCATGGTGGGCAGGTTGCCTTTAGTTTATAAATCTAACCAACGGAGCATGTTCGTTAAGAATTTGGAGAAACGTGTACCTGAAAGTCTCCCAAGACGTAGTCAGGTTGGGGATATCACAGACCTTGTCAATGTCCGAGTGAAGCACATCATTAGTAAATACCTGAGTGCTGAAGTGTTTCATGGAGTGCTTCTCAACCAATTTAGGGGGGGGGGGGGGCTTTGGGTCTGGCTGATGATCTCATCCCAAATATGAAGGAGTGATCACTAAGGTTATTACCCAGAACACCAGTCAGTGCAAAATTGTGAGGGGCATTTGTCAATAGGACGTCAAGCAGAGATGACTGTCCCGGATTTTTTAGGTTGGGTCTTGTGCGGAAATTTATTAATTGAAACAGGTTAAATTCATCTGCAAAATGTGTGGCCACGGCCGGCGGGTTTAGCCAAATCCAATTTAGATCATCCACAAACTATTTCATCTTTAGGGAGGCCCCCAAGAAGCTCTCTCAGTGCAGATGCAGCTTCAACATCCTTCCCACTAGGCGGTCTATAGCAGCACACTACCAATATCTGTTGATTGTTTGGGAGAGTTATTCTGAGAGCCAGACCTTCAAAGCAACATTTTTTAAACAGGGGGTGAGCTGGTGAACATGCAATAGTATTACGAACTTATATGACAATTCCACCTCCTTTAGATGCTCGGTCAAGCCGAAAAAGGTTGTAGTTGTCAATCGTAATCTGCAAGCCATTGACGGCAGGAGTGAGAAATGTTTATGTTAGGCAAAAAATGTCCGTGTCAGGATTTGCCACTTCTAGTTTGAAACGAAAACAATAAAGTTTGGACGGGTTCCGTCTCAAGTTCTTTTCGACAAAAACTGAAAATCCGTGCGTTGCGCCGTGGACGACTGCAGAAAAACTGAAAATAAACAAGTAACTTGTTATAAAACCACAACTTAGTTTGTAGACACCAGGGTATTGCATGTCAGGAATAACATTATTCACAAATGGGATCAAATCACCGATTTTGCTGTACTGTGGTGAAGCGAACCTGGATCTTGTGTTTGTTCAAAATTTTCGGAAATATTTTTGGTAACCCCTGCTATGTATGGCAAGGTCATGGTTTTGATTGGGATCCTCAGATGGTTGCGGCAGCAGTTACATTGGGGAAACGCAAGCCTATATACAAACTAAATAGACGCAGTTTAATCCATCACCGATTTTTTTTCAAGTCAGAATGTGTGTTGTCACCTGCTCAATAGTTGCTGCTGTGTTTGTGTACAAGTAGCTCTGCTGTCTGGCAATTCTTGCGAGCCTGGAGCACTAACCTGCTTCCATTCCTCCCTTCAAACTCATCTTTTCTGCCTAGCCCAGGGGGCTGGCAACTAAAGTTAGGGGCCGTCCATAAATTACGTCACGCGATTTTTGACGATTTTTGACCCCCCCCCCCTCAAATATGACGTCACAAAGCTTCTGCCCCCCCCCCCAAAAACCATATTTCCATTTTGAAAATAAAACACGCTTCAAATCGCTTTAAACAATTGTCATTGTAGTGCGTATTTAATGTGGCGCTGCACTCTGATGTTGTAGGAGTGTTGTTATAACAGATAGTGTTGTTATAACAAGTCTATATTTATTTAAAGTTGCGCATTTTTATGTGATGTCACAAATGTCTGACCCCCCCCCCCCCCCCCAGGTATGTGGCATAATTTATGGACGGCCCCTTATCAAGAAAAGCCAGTTTTTGTTTTCAAATTCTAACAAAATACATCCACCCTTGGGACATTGCCACAGGCCTGCGGTTGAGAACCACCGGTATAGGTAATTACATAATTGACGGGGTATTAACCCCCTCTTTTTTCACCTGCGACCTGTTTTAGCGGTGAATGTCGATCATCATGGTTTGAGATAACCATACTTCACCACCCTACTGGTTAGTACGAGTTGGTTAAGTAGGGTGGAGGTACCAGCACCGGTTGAGATGGTGCCTTGCCACTCGCTCATGTTGGCATGGTCGAGAATGAACGCGGGGTTGGCTGATGGTGGTGAGGTTATGAAGGGCAGTGTGCTAACCTCACCGCCACAGCTTCCCCAATCTTTGTCTTCTATCTGTATCATGTTATGCTTGTTCGTGTATCTGTCTGTAATGGACCAGCACATACAGGAAACGAAAAAAAATCAAGTTTGGATGGGTTCCGTCTCCTGTTCTTTCCAATCAAAACTGAAAATACGTGCGTGCGCCATGGACAACTGCAGCAAAACTGAAAATAAACAAGTAACTTGTTATAAATTAAAGTTGTGACATGCCTTCTCATGTTCCTTCTGTAATGACAGTAGAGTCAACCTCCGGTGTGAGTGAACTAGTGGCCACGGGAGGTAATGACAGGGGAGTCAGCCTGCGGTGTGAGTGGACTAGTGGCCACTTCAAGTTCAAGTTCATTTATTAGGTATGGCCCTGTGAGCCATTCGGCTCTTGAATCGGGTGCAACCGCAACAAACAAAAAACAAAAACACGAACAAAAAACATCTTAAAGTGAATATGTGACTGAGTGCAAACAGAAAATCCAAGAAAGACAGCAAAATATTGCAGGAAAAGCACCGTACACTGGAGGTAATGACAGGGGAGTCAGCCTACGGTGTGAGTGGACTAGTGGCCACGGGAGGTAATGACAGGGGAGTCAGCCTGCAGTACGAGTGGACTGGTGGCTGCGGGAATGATCGGGAATAGGAGCGTGGCCAGGTCACAGAAGAAGACCGTAGAGAGCTGGTGAAGCAAGCGTCTAGAACCAGTGAGAAGGTTCGGGAATGGGGGCGTAGCCTCGGACCGTATAAAAGGGAGATGCGCGGGAGACTCGGGGCTGTTGCGGTAGAATCTCCGCCTCATTGAGTGTGAGCACATGATTCTCACGACGTTTCGGCCACAACGCAAGCAGCCGTCCTCAGGTGAAGAATAGGTCTGTCGAGAAGACAGAGTCTTCAGGTGAAGAATAGGTCTGTCGAGAAGACAGAGTCCTCAGGTGAAGAATAGGTCTGTCGAGAAGACAGAGGCTGACTCTGTCTTCTCGACAGACCTATTCTTCACCTGAGGACGGCTGCTTGCGTTGTGGCCAAAACGTCGTGAGAATAATTGTATTATGTTTTATTTTTATTATTTTATTATTTCCATTCTACGTGACTTTACCTAAAGAACCAAGAAGATGAATCCCTGCAGTCACGAAAGCTTTAAATCGAAATCTATATTTCTGTATGAAATAATTATTTCATAAAATCATCAGTGTCTGTACATACTCGACATCCTTTTACCACGGAGTTCCACGATAAAAGGATAGCGAGTACTCTGAAAGATTTGCTGATAGTACTTTTCTGTGGGAAAAAAAACCGGTGTCGTTTGTTAGACAAATATGAAGTACTGTACATGAATACAACGTAATACGGTCCACATTCAATCCACACCTTTATGTAAGCTCCAAATCCCATTCACCAAATCCCTATAAATACAATCCCTTGTACACGTACAAGCACAGATGAAGAGCATGTTTAAGGCGGTGATAAATATAATCAAGTGGTGTACAGATATGAAGGTTAAAACCATTTTAAAAACATTTTTAGTACAACTACAATTTGTAAAAAATAAAAACGTTTTGAAAGTGTAGACATACTTTTGTGTCGCCATTTAGTATAGACGACGACCCATATCGGATTTGATCAAGGCCCATATACAATGTTCATCAAAGCCAGCACAGGGTTTCATAAATAAGTTGCTATGATGACCTTTGTACTCAACAACATTTGCTTTGCCGTGCATATTGTCACGGGTGTGTTGATTGCCTCGTTATAGGTGAAATAGCATTATTTTTTGTTTGCTGTAGTGTGGGGGGCCTTGGACAGCTGCCTGACGTTACAATATATCTTGGCAGTCTGCAAACGTTCACTCTGGAATGAAATAATGCTGTCTCTGGTGTGGACCAATCAGTTTCAAGGACAATGCATATACTATCAGAGTATTTTTTTTTTTGCATTCTGGCCACAAATATTGCGGTTAATGCAGACATGATTCCTTGTAAAGGGTTTCATTTTGTTGTTTTAACATATTAACACCTGTTTTGTTGCCAGAAAAGAGGGGAAAACCTATTATCACACCCCAATGAGCTTTGCCGGGTAAATAAAAAAAACTGTATTAGTTAGAATTCTGCGTGGGGCTCTTGGAGGACTGCGAATTGGTGCGTGCGAGGACTTAGGTACACGTTTGTATGATCGTGAATGCAGATGGTGCGTGAATGAAGCCTCCATCAGTTGGAACGCGGCGTTTCCCCGTATCGTCTTAGGAGTGTGCAAGGCAGAGTTCCAGCAGGTAAGGGAAGGCTGAGTGCTGGTGTTGCATAAGTTGTTGCATTTGGTAGTGAACTTCGTGCGTCACACATCAGTCGACCCGTGGCACCTGGGTCTGCCCCGTGACCTCCTGCCAGCGGGCGTTCGACACTTCACGTGGCCTCAAGGTGCACGTGGCCTAGCACAAGCGTCGTGGTGACGTCACCGCCACTTAGTGGCGAATGGCGGTTGTTGTTGTTGTTGTTGATGGTGGGGCCCAGCTGGCTCGACGCGACGGCCCTGGTTACGCTATGATGACACACACCCCTTCAGAAGCCCATTTACGGCCGAGTCGACCTAGGCGAGTCCCAGAAAAAGTTTCCAATACCGCCTGCCACTCTTGTTACCAATTAACAAGAATAAAACACAATGTCATGGGTTTCCAAGAAAGTGCGCAATTATACGTGCCATTTGAGGCCATAAATAAAGGTGTGGAAGGCTCACTGGCAACGGGGCAAACTCAGGTGTTGTAAGTTGACTTTGCTCCCCGCTGTGTCCAAATTGCTGCGTTTTACCCGCCCGGCTCTCCAATCGTTGTTACGAGCATCGCTCTTCTGTCCTCCAGCTGCCCAGTAGCGTCCGCCACGAGTCTCCACCACAGAGGTCGATTAAATTCGCACCATTTAATCTGCACCAACTTTTCAAAGACACTTAAAGGCCTACAGTAACTCTATTACGTGGCTTCGAAGTGACATTAATCTTTGGTTCCATGCCTCGGATTCACAGTAATTGACATCTGTTAAATATTATGAGCATTATAAATGTCAGAATTATTATGTTTCATCAATCCAGTGTAAAAGACATTATTAAACTGTGGACATACCCACGCTCAAGGGCTGTGTGCTCATATTTTTAGTTATTGGAGCAAATCTCCATGGGCTCTTGAGTATAGCTCAAGCATCTTGGAATAAAACCCGACGCGACAGCATTGCAGATGCTCTCATGAAGAGAATATTGACATTTGTGAAACACATTCCAGAATATGGGAAAGCAGTGTTTCCAGATTCTGTACACAGTCTGTTAAATAATAACAATAGTAAACCTATGGATTTGACAAACAAGAGCAATGCTTTAGAAAAGAAAAACCCTGAGTTAAAAAATAAACATTATTTTAAAGCTTCCAAGTAACCAGCCAACCAAATAAAGCATTCGAGCTCTCCGATGTGTGTTTCTAGTTGTCCTGCGTGTGTCATTGTGCACGGTGATTCACTCCACGTGTTGGGAGCTTCACGCCGTGACGACACGCGGGTAGCACAACCCGAAAACGCAATGGAGAGCCCGCACAGCACGCTTCTTTGTTTAGTACAGCTTGGCTACGTGCAGTGCGGAAGAAGATCAACGTACATATGAACAGCACGACTGCAAAACCATATGCAAATCGTGAGTTTGCGGATTGGCGATGGATGCATTCTCGCGGCAGCCCGACCGGTTACGCATTTTTGTAATATTGTCGTCTGGTCGAAATCGACGTCGTTTTTTCGAATTCCCCATAGTCTGCGACAACCGATAAAGTCCGACGAATATTTAGTCGATTTGGGAAGTCATACAGCTAAAAAGCTTCTCTCCTCCATGGGTTCCACCTATCTTCATTTTGTATAGAAATGTTGAACTTCTTTCGCATCGTACGTGGCCAACCGTGCTAATCGGTGGAGTGGAGTGTTTACGCCTCGTTGAGGAGGAGCCGCGGATGTGAAGATCCACAAAGAGAACCCCCCCCCCCCCCCCCCCCCCACAAGCGGTGAGCTTTCTTGACCTCACTTGGGACACAAGTACGACAGGACGAGGTTAATTTCATTCTTGATGATCAGGGCGGGTGGGTGAATCCTATCTGGGAAACGGTGGGCCGCGGTCATGTCCCAGACGTCCACAATGACGACTTGCAAACCCGCCATCATTCGCCGCATGACTTGGTCGAGCTGCTTGGCCAGCCAGTCGCTTCCGATGACCGACTTGTAGCTGGTGTTGGCCGTCTTAATGATGACCAGGGTCTCGGGCGAACGAGCCAGCAGGCGAACGATGGAAGCACGGATGTTGCGGATGCGTTTCACGTAGAAGATCACGGGGTACGATGTGAAGTGAGCCCACAGTGTGAAAGCCACGACCGTGTCCTTGCCACCTTTCGGGGGAAAGGGTTGGTGAACGCACACGCACACAGCAGACAAAGCACAAAGTCCGTCCACTGAATGCGAATAAACGGTAGGGCAGAGCTGCATATGGACACCTTGTGCCGGTATAGGGATAGAAGCCATTGGAGGTCCCGGTCCCCTTGGCTGGACTGCTGATGGACAAAGGAGCGCCATATAAATATAAATAATTACCCTTATAAAGCACCTATTGATGTAGGCATGGTGCAAGATGATGGAGTGTAGTGGTAAGCACCACGCCAGTGTGCCTTCGTCACGCTACTGCTGATTGTTTACACACCGCATCGGGCGCTCACATTAAGATGAGTCCAGCTATGGGAGGTCGAGGCTAAGTTCAAAAGGTCAAGGCGCAGCCCTGAAATTGCGCGCTCTCACCACCGCTAGTGGAAACGCCTCCACGAGAGGGATCTCAAGAGAAAACCCGTTAAGAGGATGTTTGACCTACTTTGCACGCCGGCCAGACGTATTGGAAGAGGTGGGAGTCCCGATTGACTAACTGCGCTGTACCTATTCACATTGAACCCATTCTGGGTGGACAGAGCGAGGCATGAGGAGTCTTTCTTTCGATTCGAACCGAAAGAAAAACTAAAATAACTTCATCCTTACCGAGGCAGCTATCGTAGAGTGCGGTCGTGTCGCTACAGCTCTCTGCGGTGAGTACAGATGACGCCTTTTGGCGTCATCTGGTCCAACACCATTTGAGACTAGGCTCTAAGGAAAGCTGTCTCGGGTGTGGACCAATCAACTTCAAAGACAGTGCATACATTATCAGATGTGTTTTTTGTTTGCATTACGACTACAGGTATTTTGGTCTATGCAAACATGACTCCTTGTAAAAAAAAGGTGTCAGTTTTGTTGCCAGATAAAAGGGTAAAAAAACAATTATCAATTATCAAGACTGATGATGTACATGCACGTCATCCGAATGGGAAAGGGTGGTAGTGAAGTCTGCATGAGCTGGACTGCTGCTGCCATGCAATCTCCTGCTGCTGATGTTGCCATTTGGGCCACTGCTATATATTCGTTGTTGCTGCTACACTATACACCTAGTCTACACCAAGTCGTTTGTACAGAACTGCAACCTGTGAACATTACAACTCTACTCACTGGTGACGTATGTATGTACGTATGTTGCATTTATTTCGCACTATACATGGCCAACCGTGCTAATCGGAGGTGATGTATACCATTGAGTAACATTACTCAATGGTATGGAGACCGAGAGTAGGTGTGGCGACTTATGCAACAGCTTCTTGATGAAGGCACACATGCGGTCACACCACAATTAAGTTGTCATGGTTTAATAAAGCAGGCCTATTGACACCTGAAATCAGTACAAATTATTTTGTGAGAATTTTATCCTGGGACTTGATGTTGCGGCTGCGTAGGTGTTCACGGTTCTACTGTACAGCTAGCTCAATGAAGCTGCTAGTGATACGTGGAAATTTATAGCAGCAAAATACTCCAAACGCATGTCGGTTATAAATGTGGAGGGAAAATCCGGAGGACCTGGAGAAAAATCAACGTGACCACGGGGAGAGAGACACTGCAAACTACAAATATACAGCAGGTGCCAGGGTTGGGATCGAATCCCATGACCTCCTCCACACCAGGTGAGGGAGATAACATCCCGCCACTTGTGGCGCCCAGTACTGACGACCTCTGCGTTGAAAGTCCGGTGTGCCGTCCGTTGCACTACAGCGGCATTCCGGCTTCCACGTGACAATCGCTCACCAGGAATGCCATCGAGCTCGTTGGCGATGTAGTGCATGGCGGCGAAGGATCCTTTCTGGGACCGCAGCGGGAATCCGTGACTGCGATAGGACAGGAATGTCTTGCCGCCCATCCCCGTGGCCAGGAGAGGACCCATTTGTTTTGGCGAATGCACGTCGATGATCTGCATGCCTTCGCAAAGGCAAGGGGAGGGGGAAAAAAATGGCACGACAGCTCGGAGACGAACGGCAACGTAGCGATGCAACTTAAATATGAACGTTTTTTAATCGCTCTGCATTACCTGCTATGATGTATGGATCATACACACGCACGGGATTTCGACAATGAAAAAGTGGAGAGAGAAGCATGGAGAGGCATATGGACGTTCCTGCAAATCTTCCACGGTCATCCCGCCATATGACCCCTATCGGCCTGCAATCCACTGGTAATCTTGCCCATCTGCATCCGATGTCCTCAATTATGTTGCTGTTTTTCAATTTTACCAGAAGAGACCTGGCCACAAGTGATAGCCCAATGAAGTACAGTAAGTGGCTTACGTGGAAATGTTTAGCAGCCAAATACTTCAAAAGCATGTTTCTAAATGTAGTGGGAACAACCAGAGGACCCGGAGAAAAATCCACGCGACACACAGAGAGAACATTTAAACTTTAAATATCCTGGCATCGGATCGAACCCACGACCTCCTGTATACCAAGCGAGGTAGTTAACATCTCGCCACCGCGGCGCCCTGCTCCATGCCAGTTTTTTCACTTTGTAAATGATTTCCCTGGTCTCTTGATTTCTCACCTTGTGCTTTGTGTGTGTATATATGCCTTTCCCCAGAAAATTATATTAAGTGTGATATTGCCTATGTTTTATGTAATGGTTCCTCGTAGACATATACAGTAAAACCTTGGATTGCGAGTAACTTGGTCTGCGAGGGTTTTGCAAGACGAGCAAATGTTTTAAATAAATATTAATTTGATAAACGAGCGAGGTCTTGCAATACGAGTAGTACATATACGCTTTGTCTGCCGAGCGTCACGTGATCACAACTGAAATACGAGTGCTTTGGATTACAAACACGTTTCCACAAACAGATAAACTAAGTGATGATAAACAAAGAGGTAAAACCCAGAGAGTGAGGCAGGCGGATTTACCCCAAAGAATGTGCCACAGACACACAACAACAACAACCGCCATTCGCCACTAAGTGGCGGTGACGTCACCATGACGCTTGTGCCAGGCCATGGTGCACCTTGAGGCCACACACAAACACGCCACATTGGGGGGCAGGGGGGGTCAGCTTCTACGAGTCAAAAGACATCGCTAGGGGCAACTAGATAGATTGGGATTCTCATAATCTTGGGATGACCTCCAAGAAAAGATGTTCAGCCGAGCTAATAACCCCTGGGGCCAGGGTATCCAGGGAGCCAGAACAAGAGGTAAACTAAGACTGACCGAATGAATAGAGGGATGTAAAAGTGGGAGTAGCATCTGGGCTTTTTGACGTGCCGTAGGCAAATAATTTTAAAAAGCTAGACATTCCTATATAACAACACACAAAAGCACACGATCCGGTCCTGCATTGGTAGACTCCGGGGATAGCACTCGTGATTTGGCTAAGAGTGAACTTTGCAGAGGCAAAGTGTCTGAGTAGTGGAGTTCTTGCTGAGGAAGTCTCCAAGTATCGCTGAAAGTTTTCTTTTACGTTTTTCTTCATATTTTGAAGCCGCTTGCCAAGTCACAGACTTCGAGATGTTGTACTTTACTAAGCTAAGAGGTGTGAAAAGTTACGTGGTTGAGGAAAATTGTTGATGAAGAGTTTCTGGTGGCAATGGACCTGATATAGCATTCCTCATGCTAGTGTTGTGGGCGAAGGCATTTTCAAATAATACTGTGATAAGCTAAGATGTGTGAGAAGTTAAGTGAAGATATGAGTCATACACAAATATCGAACGTGCATGAAATATTGTCCAAGCTATAGGCTGGAAAAAGTTGTGTTTAACACTTTCGTGACTAATATTATCCATAATATCAACAGAAGGTGTGTACCGGATTAATGGCTCCTGTTGCAAATGATGTGTTGGTCAGACAGGACGAATGATCAGCATGAGACTAAAATAACACCAAAGGAATATTAAATACTCCCAAATACAATTGTCGGCAGTGGAAGAACACGCGTGCCAACAAGGATACTCAGTTGATACTCTTTGGTTCTTTCGGTAAAGTCACGTAAATATAAAATCAAATAAATCACGACGTTTCGGGCGCTCGAAACATCGGGCGCCCGAAACGTCGGGACGTCGGGAAGCTGAGTGTGGGACACGGGGGGGGAAGGTTGAAATAAACATGTACTAGTAAGCCGGCAGGTATGATGGAAACAACCACAATCAGTTAAGGCATTACCTGGTTAATAACATCCTTCCAATGATTGTTCAATTTGTATCATTGACAGTATTACGTATTGTTCAATTTCTATCATTGACAGTATTACGTATTGTTCAATTTCTATCATTGACAGTATTACGTATTGTTCAATTTCTATCATTGACAGTATTACGTATTTTTCAATTTATATCATTGACAGTATTACGTATTGTTCAATTTCTATCATTGACAGTATTACGTATTGTTCAATTTCTATCATTGACAGTATTACGTATTGTTCAATTTGTATCATTGACAGTATTACGTATTGATTATACATACTCCTAGACAACAAGCGAGCCAATATTACTTGTGATAACTTTACACATAATCACTTCCTAATCACATACGCATTAATATTAATCAGTATATATTTTCGCATCACAATCATTATTCATAATACTTAATGACACACACATTCTTCATTAGACTTAAATACATGTAATTATATTAACATCACGCAATTACGATTTCTTTACATATTTTACATCATTTCCACATTATTTGAATCATTTTATTTTATTATTTTATTCATCACAATTTATACAACACTGTATAAACAAAAACAATTATCCGTTATCCTAGTTTTAATTGGAAAATCTTCATTCATAATTGTTTTCCTGCTCATCACATTCAAAGTCCTCATTTTTATTGCTCTGCACAAGAACACAATTTTCATTTGGTGATAAGTGTGGCAGCGATTACATGCTTTTAAATAGCCTCAGTAAAAAATCACGTTGTGAGCATCTAAAGCCATAAGTACCTTTTTTGCTGTGTCTTTAAGATAAACATTATTGCCATATAAATGTTAGAGAGGGCCTTGGGGCTTTAGACTTTTACTGGACCTGTGAACCAGTTTTACACCCAATAATTACTTGAGCTAACGATTAACCGGACGCGCCCAAGTGTACATCGTGACCGTATTGAATGACAAGAGCAAGCATCCGTGTGTAGTGTCGCACTGCCTAAAAGATATATAACTATGATGATCATCAATACGTGCTATGCCCTAAAATATTCATGGCTCGAACGTAGGATCTTCACTAAAAATAAAAATTAATTTGACAAAATAAAAAATGTACAGCATGAATAACAATGGAGTTAAATGGATATTTGTTTACATTTTCCATCTAAATGTTCGTGTCAACCCGGTGTATATTTCAGGAGCTCAGCAAATACAGTTGGTTGAGAACAAACCCAGCACAAACATTGCTGACGTCAGTCGTGTCCCTCGCGACGATCATCGTGTCGTCAACATCGAGTGTACCTCTCGTAAGAGCTGTGGCTACAGGGATACACGGCGACTCTGGTCTACCAGTGACCAAGACAAGATTCGTCGAGGAACTAAACCCTGGTGGACCAGCTGAGCACTTTTAAAGCTCGATTGAAAACTAATTTCTTTAGAACTGATTTTTTTGAGTGTAGTAAAGTTTTTTTTTTCTTCTGGCAAATGAGGTTCCAACTGTGTAAATGCTTACCCCGAGCTCTCATACTCTGATGGTGCATTGTCTTTGAGTTGTGCGCCTTTTGGCGTCATCTGGTCCAACACCATGTGAGACTAGGCTCTAAGGAAAGCTGTCTTGGGTGTGGACCAATCAACTTCAAGGACAGTGCATACATTATCAGAGTTATGTTTTTTGTTTGCATTATGACTGCAGGTATTGTGGTCTATGCAAACATGACTCCTCGTGAAAAAAATGTGTCAGTTTTGTTACCAGATAAAAGGGTAAAAAACCAATTATCATATTTTTTCTTCTGGCAAATGAGGTTCCAATGGTGTAGTAAAGTTCTTCTTCCCTCCAGTAACACCTCCGATTCGCACGGTTGACTACGAACGGTGCGAAAGGTACATACATTCACACAATTGCGTACCTGGAATTGCGCTGGTGAAATATTCCCACCACTGCCTCATGGTGGAATCGCCATACATGTAGAAGGTCTTTCCCCTTAGGCACTCGGTCATGTTTGCGGGCAAACTAAAGTCCCGTGCTTTGCAGGCCAGTGAGACCCACTTGTCATTGATGTAGTAGCCACTGGGTGTAGCAACTGGATGTCCCGGTTTGCATAATCCCAATCCGGATCCTGTAGGTCAACAATGAAAGACATTCGTGTTAACATACGGCTAATTTGCCATAATAGAGGCGTTTTGGGGATTTGATTGCGTAGGTATAAATGTGTCGTTTAAACCCGCCACCGCCCGACACAGCCAATGAGTAAGGTTTGTCACACAAAACATGCAATTAGTTACCAGTTCAGCACACCCGTGTGTTGGAGAGGCAAACCCACGACATTTACCATTCGAGAATCGTGACGTTTCACGAGTAATTACAGCAAGCTTCATCAGGCGACAGCCAGAATTGTGGAGACATATTTACATGACCTTACTCATAAAACACCTCTATCATTGGTGATATTTGTCTCCAAAGCCTACGCGATAAACGTACAATCGTTTTGTCGATCCACTGCTGGATGAAGGACTCCCCAAGCTGCCCGCCACCTCTCGCCACAATAATATTTCACAATAAACGACATAAACAACATGTACCACCAAACTCTGTCGCCATAGCTGACTCATGCAGCCAGCTATGGCTACAGGGTTTGGTGGTACATGTTGTTTATGTCGTTTATTGTGAAATATTGGTCACAGTTCATATGATCACTGTTACATTGCTTATGGCTTTATTTTGGTGATTTCGAAAACTTTTTTGGTTTGGCCATGTTTGTTTGTTGTAGTACGGAGTTAGAATGATGACTTTAATAATATAAGTTGTCTTGTGGTTGTTGTTGTTGTTTGACTTGCATCCCACTGGGATTTTTGCACAGTGGTTGATGTACGGTGCTTTTTTTCTGGAAGACTTTGCAGTTTTTTTCTGGATTTTTCTGTTTGCGCATAGTCACTTTAAGATGTTTTTTGTTCATGTTTTTGTTTTTTGTTTGGTGCGGTTGCTCCCGATTCAAGAGCCGAATGGCTCACAGGGCTATACCTAATAAATGGACCTGAAGCATGTAAGTCGTCATTTTATATTCCTGTCGCGTTTTTTTTTACTACGTTGAGCGCCTTGGGCAAAGGCGCTCCATACATATAAATACATCGAGTTCACTTTTCGGTGTTACTACGTTGCATCCGCTGAGATAGGCGATGATGGCATCTCATCGACGCCCATGGGGAAAGGAGTTTCCCAAAAATTGCGCGGTGATCCTCCAGCCCTCGCTGCCGCTGCCTCCACAGCGCTGGGTTGCAGGCAGCCGCGTGCGCAGCCACCACCGTCCGGTGGGAAGTCTTTTTTTTTGTATTTTAGAGGTCGATTTACGGGTGCAAAGGATAAGAGTCTCAGGTGAACGATAGACGGTTACGTGGGTATTAATGTAAGGAATGCAAGGTTGTAGGAGGTAAGTGGCAGATAAAGGATGTCAAGACCGCACCTCCGATTGACACGATTGACTACGTGCGGTTCAAAAGTGTTTCAACATACGCACAGTGCATGTACTAGACCACGGTTTTAAACGTCGTAAAGGTGCTACAGCAGACGTTGTCAAGAACATAAGAGTTCTGGAGGGGTGGGGGGGGGCGGCGGAGAGGGGAGTTAATGTGGCGACGAGGTTTCCCAAGACGCTGCTTCGTCAAGGAAGATGGACTTATGGATGTAGGGGAGAGTGTGGCCAAAGTAAGAAGATTATGGGCGATAGCTGAGAGAGCAGAGCATCGCGGTGACAGGCGAGAGAGACGGGGAATGCTACGCGTGGGAACGTCCCCGACCACGAATGTTCACGAAGTGCGACGCGATCTCTCTCTCGCTTTGCAATTCCCACCGTTGTTTGCGCATTAGCAGTGCGCGGCGATGCAGCCGCATTGCTGAGATTCCCTGTGGCCTCGCTATCTTTCTCTTTTTTTTACGATCAGTGGAAACAAGAAGATGCTCGGTGTAGTCGGCACTTTGCTGCGTTCATCATGTCGTGTTTTATTTTTACTTTGATGTAACCCCCCCCCCCCCTTCTCGCTCTCGCTCACTCTCTCGCTCACTCTCTCCAGCTCTCTCTCGTTCTGCACGCAGCCCTTCTTGCAGTCCAATGGCCTCCGACTGGTAGCTCATAACTGCATGCAGAGCTCCCCGTCATCTGCCACCGAGCACACGGCCTCCTCCATCGCCCACTGCTCCTTGAAGGCCGGCACGGCGTGGGTCAGCTGCGCATGGCGGAACTCCAGCCAACACACCCTGGGGGCTCCGACCAGAGCGCAGAAGATGCCCAGGCTGCTGGCCGGACGTTTCCCCTCCAGGGCCACCTTCCTCGCCCTGTATATGGCGAGCTTGGCGTAGCCGACGAGCACGTTGACCAGCCCCTGAAGATGTTGGGGTCCGTCGCCCTTTGGGTATCCAAAGATGAGGACCGTCGGGGAGAAGTGGAGGCTGAACCTTAGGAGGATGTTTCTCAGGACCTTGAACCTCTCTACCTCTCAGGCGCAACAGAGGGATACGCCTCGAGCGCTTCACATTTGCATGCCTTCGTACACCACGCATTGCTAAGCTGGTGCGTGCTTTGTTTTTCTATTCACCGTGGCGATAAACAACCCTCTCTTAAATTTTAAACTCGCACAGCACTACAGGCAGCCAGTTCTCGGCTCCGCCGTGTTCAAGAACGCCTGTCCAGGTGTGCGTCTGTCAAAGCGTGAATGCGTCGATCACAGGTCCGAGTCACGTCTCACTCCGGTTAAATGACCATGCAAAGAACCAAGAAGATGTTGTACAATTTGCGTTTGAAATGCGTGAGTGACATGCTCGCGTGCGTGCGTGCACTCCGTGAGCGTTCCTCACGGGAGGGAAGAGCAACACGGGGCACGGTGTCTTCTCAGGGATTAAGGTCCTCTCCACAATCTCGGTTGGCATCTTGGGGGATTTTCGATTTAAAGCTTTCGTGACTGCAGGGATTCATCTTCTTGGTTCTTTCGGTAAAGTCACGTAGAATGGAAATAATAAAAAATATATAAAAAAATAATAATTCTCACGACGTTTCGGCCACAACGCAAGCAGCCGTCCTCAGGTGAAGAACAGGTCTTAGAGTCGCGGCATCTAAGACTTGATCTTCACCTGAGGACGGCTGCTTGCGTTGTGGCCGAAACGTCGTGAGAATATTTTTTTTATTTTTTATTTTTACTATTTTATCATTTCCATTCTACGTGACTTTACCGAAAGAACCAAGAAAATGAATCTTGGGGGCTGCGAATGATAGTAAGGAACCTGACGTAATATGTCTTTGTTAACATTCATTTATTTCTTTACTCCAAGATAGCAATCTTGTTGTCAAATGTAACCCCTCCACTCCCCGTCGACGAGGTGGAGAACAGGATTGGCAGGACAGATCATTAAAGAAAAGCCGTCACGCCAACACTAAAAGGTTGAAACATTTCCAGCAACAATTGAAACTTGAGATTGACAACGATGCACTGTGGAATTGAAAGAACCACACACTTACCTTTACCGCGCGCCGCAGGACATGGACTCAATAATATTTTCTAAATATTATATTGCATCTTAAATTTTGATATTTTAATTAAAAGTTTGCAATTGGAGGTCATGTGGCGGGGGGGGGGGGCGGGCGTGTGAAGTGCACACACGATGTGGAGTCTGGTTATTATGAGCATAATGGAAACGATCGTGGACGTTTTTTTTATTTTACCAAGTATGGCCCACTGTAGCTATGTAGCTCTTTTTCAGAAGCGACTCGGATTATCACAAATGATAGCCCGGACGAAGTGGCTTATCGTCACGTGGGAATTTATAGCAGCCAAATACTCCGAACGCACGTTTCGACATGTGGAGGGAAAAAAAAACCGGAGGAGAGAACATGCAAACTCTAAATATACAGACGTCAGAGTCAGGATCAAACCCACGATGATATCTCAACAGATGGCTCAACGAAGTGGCTTATCGTCACGTGGGAATTTATAGCAGCCAAACACTCTGAACGTACGTTGATTTTCAAATGTGGAGGGATAAACCGGAGGACTCGGAGAAAAATCCACTTGACTGTGGGGAGAGACACGCAAACTCCAAATATACCGCAGGCGTTAGGGTCAGGAACGAACCCACAAACTCCTCCATACCAGGTACGGAAGATAATATGTATAGGCTGTATGGGCAGCAACATTCAGTATTGATGCCTTGCACGTAGCAAGTTTAAGAATAACATTCATAGCTGTTGACCAGGGGAAAGACACTGCAGATTTGAAGTTTGGGCTTTTTTTATAATGTGTGCGTGTGCATTGCATTTGTACGAATTAATTATAAACATTATATAGAACATTTCAAACATTACCTGGATTGAATGTTGAATTCCCCAATGGAAGCACATTGGTTTTACTTGGAATTCCCCTAATATTCACGTTGGTAACTTTTCTAGATGTACAGAATGGGAAGAAGAAAAACAAAGTTTAAAACACAATAGAAAAGGCAAAATCAGCAACTTTATACCCTCCGATCGTAAAGACCTGTCATTATCGATAAACATCTTTCTTGGGTACAGTGACAACCAAGGCTCGAGGCGTGTTTTCTTGTTTTCAGTCACTGGCAAACCCAGCTCCTTCTTGTGCCAGCGAGCAGTGCCCAAACAGGTGATAACAGCCCAGAGCGATGGATGGGTTGGTCATAACCTCTTAAATAGGGCCTCTTATACGCCTTTGCAAAGTGTGTGCACGTTGTGTGTGTGTGTGTGTTTTTTTTACACGTGGCAGTCAAAACTGAAAAAAAATATTTCTCAGAACCAAAATATTGTCAAATTAAGCAAAACCACCAAATCTGTATTTTTGTTTTGTGTGTGCAGTGTTTTGGCGACTGCTGTGCGAGCTGTAGTGTAGTGGTTAACGTGCTGCCCTCTAAACCCGGTGACCCGAGTTCTATTCCCGCTCATGGCCACCAACACCGGTGACGATTATCTAAAAATAAGTCCTGTGCCTCCCTTAGGTCGACTCAACCTCGAATGAGTACCTTGTGCGGTATGTAAACATCGCCACTAGGAAGACAAAGGCGGTTGAGCATGATGCTGGCCACCCACCCCCTCGTGTGCTGTGCCGGCCTTCATAGGTGCTCGCTAACAGCACTCGCCCCAACAGTCTGTTCAGGCAGTTTTTTGTGGACGAGGCAGTGGACAAGAGACATCGGTGTCAAACAACTGAATACGCGCAAACCCCCCTTTATCCGAAAAACCGACAATATTTCGTGCAATTCTCTTACGCGCTGAGGAATGGTGACTCTTTTTTTGTCGTCACCGTTTTGAGACTTCCCATGGAGTGATAGCGAAGGCTTTCGCACGGCAGGATTTTGGGCTTCACGCAGAACCACACCTCCCCCGTCGCCCGATCGGGATACTCGCAGGTCTTCGAGTTGCCGTCCACTGGCTTGAACATGTTGCACACGGTCCTCTCGCTCGCCGCTCCGCTCTGCTCGAAGTAGCCGTAGAAATACACCTTGTCCGGCGCGGAGTCGCGTAGCCTCCTCAACAGCTCCACCGTCTCGCTCGAGTGGATGAGCTTGACGTCGATCTGGACATCGCCGGCCCAGAACAGGGTGACGTTGCCCGCGTACTGCCCGTTCTCGAGGTCGCGGACAGAGCCGAAGGCGCCCGCTTTCAGCTTGCTGGAGTAGATTTTGAATCGAAAGTAGTCGCCGCCATACGTCTTGCTGTCGTTATTGTGGTTCATGGCGTGGATGGCGATTCGGAGGGTGTCACCCACGTGGAGCTCTCCCTTGTTTAAGATCTCGAAGAAGCTGTTCGTTGCACTCGTGGACGTGGCAAAGGTGTAATTCGTCTGCGGCGAAGGCCACGCTAGCACCTCCTGGAGAGATTGAATTTCTGTATCGACCGGATTGGCTGTGCTTGGGATGCTCGTCGTCGCATTTTTTACGTCGATGTGTCTTAAGTACGGCGGTTGCTGGAATACGGGGCTATATTCCCACTGCAAAGACAAACGGCAGAGATTGTTTAATGGATAAAAAAAACATGTTCTGAAGCAGGTGTGGTTATTCTAGATTTGAAGCTTTCGTGACTGCAAGGATTCATACTCTTAGTTTTTTTCGGTAAAGTCACGTAGATAAAAATGAAATTAAAATTAATAAAAATAAAATTATAAAAATCACGACGTTTCGTGTTGCCTCCGAAACGTCGTGATTTTTATTATTTTATTTTTATGAATTTTTTAATTTCATTTTTACCTACGTGACTTTACCGAAAGAGTATAGGTGTGGTCATAATGACACAAGTCACTGAATGTCCAATGAGAAGTAGGTAATAGTATGCAGCCTATTACGTATTTGTTGAATAAATTTACCTCAAGTGATGTGCTTTCAAGTTTTACAGAGCGTCGTTCAACATTTATTTTTCAGAAACTCTTTAGTTCAGCCGAATTAAACACAAACACAGAAATCTCCAGGCACGGACTCAGAACTCTTAAGTTTTATCGATATTCGACATTGCGTTGAAAACATAAGTTATGTTCAACCACACGCACAAAAAAAGCGCGCACCACTTACACAAAAATAAAACTCTCAGCCTTTAAGCATTTTTGCAAAAACAACCAATTCCTGAAGAAACTGCGTTGTGGGTACCGTCAAGGAATTGTGACTTTCCCTCAACGTTTCACTGTTGACCCCCTGCTCAAAATCATCGCAAGGTTTTAATGTCAGCGCGTTGCATCTACGCCGATGGCACCCGGCTCTACATTTAGCCCAACCACCTGTAGCAGTTAGCACACTGGCTTTACAGTTAATAATTAGACACATCTATAGCACCTTCATATATGTGTCCTGTTATGTAAAAAAGCACTGTTACCCCACTCGTCAACCACACGAGAAAGGTAAATAGTAATTTGTCGGAGTGCGTCATTTCAGCAGCATGGGTTCAATATAAAACAAACTCTGGACGCGTTTCGGCATACATTGTCTCAACAGAAGATTCCGACTAACTTGAACCGATGCTGTTGAACTGCCAGATGTTACAGGCAAGATATGGGTCCTAGTTCAACGGCAAATGATGTGATACGTAATGAAAAATAATCGTGAGTGTGAAGCAATCGTTCGCATAATTAATGCCATCATTGCAATTCAGAGGTTGCCGCTTCAATGCTATTTTCTGGCTTGACAGTAGACAATTTTCTTAAATCAAATCTTGACTGAAAGCTTTCGTGACTGCAGGAATTCATGAAGCCACGTAGATAGAAAAATAATATTATTTTTCTATTTACGTGGCTTTACCGAAAGACCCAAAGAATATTTCTTAAATCAGTCCACCGAGCATTTTATTTGGCTGCTATAAATGTCCACACGATAAGCCACTTCGAGCTATAATCTGTGGCCAGGTCACTTCTGAAAAAGAATCTGATAGCTCATGGAGCTTCACCTGGTAAAATAAAACCAAACAAATTTTGTGAATTTCTTACCTCTTTAAAACGTTTTTTTCTGTAACTTGCCAACCCGCCCCTAGTGGACGTCTGTGAAAAAGTGCTTCACAGCTCATCGGATTCCTCCTGCAGTGTCAATAAATATTCTGATTCTTATATATCGGGATAACGTAGATCGAAGATCGGCATGCTGCGCGAAGCAGGGTAAAGTGTAGGTTCTCCTTGTCTCTTCCAACGCCACGTCTGGTCAGCATGAGAGAGTAGACCAAATATTCTTAGTTTTTTTTCGGTAAAGTCACGTAGGTAAAAAAATAAAAATTAATAAAAGTAAAATAAAAATCACGACGTTTCGGAAGCAACACAAGCCTCTTTCTTGAGGTGGAACAGTCACAGCATGATAGCTGTATCAAGTGATCGTGCTTTGACTGTTCCACCTGAAGACGGAGGCTTGTGTTGCTTCCGAAACGTCGTGATTTTTATTTTATTTTTATTTTACTTTTATTAATTAAAAAAAAAATTTACCTACGTGACTTTACCGAAAAAAACCCTAAGAATATGAATCCTTGCAGTCACGAAAGCTTCAAATCTAGTAGACCAAATACCGTCCAGACTTCCCTCCCTAAAACTATTTTTTAAACGTTGCTCCTGAGCTACATAGTTCTTCTTCTTTTCAAAAGTGACGTGGCCAAAATTGATAGCCCAATGGGAAGTGGCTCATGTGGAAATTGATAGAAGCCAAATATTCAAAACGCGTGGTGTCGATTCTAAATGTGGAAAGAAAAACTGGAGGACCCCGAGAAAATTCCACGCGACGAGGGGGGAGAGAGAACACGCAAACTCCAAATATACAGCAGGCGTCAGGGTCGGGATCGGGATCGAACCAACACCCTCTTAAATTTCGATTTAAAGCTTTCGTGACTGCAGGGATTCATCTTCTTGGTTCTTTCGGTAAAGTCACGTAGAATGGAAATAATAAAATAATAAAAATAAAACATAATAAAATAATTATATTTAAAGCTTTCGTGACTGCAGGGATTCATCTTCTTGGTTCTTTCGGTAAAGTCACGTAGAATGGAAATAATAAAATAATAAAAATAAAACATAATAAAATAATTATATTTAAAGCTTTCGTGACTGCAGGGATTCATCTTCTTGGTTCTTTCGATAAAGTCACATAGATTGGAAATAATAAAATAATAAAAATAAAACATAATAAAATAATTCTCACGACGTTTGAATGATTCAGACGCTGTCTTTCTGACAGACCTGTTCTTCACCTGAGGACGGCTGCTTGCGTTGTGCCGAAACGTCGTGATAATTATTTTATAATGTTTTATTTTATTATTTTATTATTTCCATTCTACATGACTTTACCGAAAGAACCAAGAAGACAACACCCTCTTGTATATCAGGCGAGTGAATTAACATCTCGCCACCACACCGCCCTCCTAGTGGAGGCTTAGCCGCCAGCAGTTGTAAGACTGTACCATTCACCTCTTCATAACCATGAAATAATCTTCCATCGTTGCATAGCAATAATGGGCAGAGTTTACATTTTTACAATATTCCCTCATTATTCGCGACGAGGGCTACGTTCCGGAGATGATTGTGAATAGCAAATTTCGAATAATGATATTAGCCTACGAAAATCTATCTTTTTTTACGAATAACCTAAAATAAATACATAAATAAGACATGACGTGAGAATTACGCATCTCTCTCAAAATTACGTACGTCTCATCACTTTCTTTCCCGTCACTTTATCTCACGTTCTTTCTTTATTTCTCTCTCAATGCAGTCGTGTAAAGTTCCACATGTAATTCGCGGATAGCCAAAATCGCGGACAGCAAGTTCATAACAAGGGAATTACTGTACACAAATAACCGCGCGAGACCTTGACAAATTCTGCCCCATTGCTTCAAGGTTGTGAGAATTGAAAGAATGTATTGGCTGAGTTTGTAAAACTTGTTAACACATTTATAAACATTCTCTCTTTTGCAGTATTTGCATGGACGTTGCACTATGAGCTTGGACGTCCGCCGGTTCGATTCCATCTCATGGCGCGAGTTTTTTTAAATCTCTCACCTCGGTCCAAGGAGCCGATATGAATGGGTACACCACGGTTAGTCAATCAGCAGGCAGGTTGCGTGCGGCGGGGGTTAAACTGCGGGTACCTCCAACCTCTTCCAGAATGTCTGGCAAACGCGGAAGAGTAGGCCAAAATACGCCATGCACGGGGGATCATTGGAGCTGTCCCGGGTATTTGGCTTTCTGCCAGCGGGTGATATGAGCGAGAACGGCAATTTCAGGGCTGCACCTTTATACCTTGTGTGTCGGTTACACAGTGCAGCGGTCAGTGAACTGCACGACAAACTAACAACTGATAAGACCGACGTATCAGATCATCATCAGAATATTTGCATGAGGAATCCGATGAGCTATAAAGCTCTTTGTCACAGATGTCCAGTAGGGGCGGGTCAGAACGTTACATTAACAAACAATACCACAATAAATATAGGAGTGCAAAGTATAGGAAACGTAAGAAAGTCACTTCTAAAAATACAAATGGAACTCAATTAAAATGTTCTTTTTTTCAAGTAAAACCCAATGAGCTATTAGCTTCTTTTTCCCAAGTGACCTGGTCAGAAATGATAGCTCAACAAAGTGGCTTAGGATGTGGAAATTTATAGCAGCCAAATAATATCATATTAAACGCATGTTTCATATGGCAGAGGAATGACAGGGGTGCTGTGAAGTATGAATTATTGTCACATCATAATAATAACCGATGCGATTATTTATGAAAGTTATGGTGGCCCATAGGAATTACAATTGGACAACGAGTATACAATTTGATCTAAACAAAATTCCACATTCCCACGGCAGGAACGAGCGCATCGACGGGACAATCGCCGTTGACAAAGTGGCGCTGCGGTTGTCGACCCGAGAGATGTGAAGTGCTGAGCTGACCTCTACCCGGGGTTTGGACACGTGACTCGCGATGGCAGGCGAGGGACAGCGGAGGAAAGAGGCAACACGGATTCAGCGATTAAACAAACTTGAGTATTGACTCGACCGGCTTTGATGTAAATAAAGCAGCCATTGCTGTCAAATATTGTGCCCATAAATATTGGCCCGACTAAAGGCGTTTACAGGAATGAAGAGGGACGTTTTCCAGTGCTGTGATGGTCGGCACACTGGACTTGCAATCCAGAGGGGGGGCCACTTCGGAGGCGTAGCTAGGGGGGAGGGGGCAGGGGGGTATATATGTCCCCGGGCGCCAAGGTAAAGGGGCGCCAAAATGAGGCTTACAACGTCACATTATAACTTATTGCGGCGGGCGCGGCAGCCTGAAGCTACTGCACAAATCTACACCTCAATCTAAAAGTTCATATATCCCGCCACACACAGCCTACATGTCACGTAATTACATGTTGGTATGTGATTAAACGGGGGGGGGGGGGGGGGGCGCCAATGTTTTAATTCGTCCCCGGGTGCAAAATATCCTCGCTACGCCACTGGGCCACTTTGATTACATCTGCCCGGCACGGCGGACGAAA